AGTTGAAAAGTCATTAAGATCGCACATTTAGAGTGATATATAAAATGATAACTTTCGCTTACAGTCATACCATGTTGAATACACCAGTTCTCGTCCGATCACTGAAGTTAAGAAACGTCGGGCTCGGTTAGTAGTTGGATGGGTGACCGCCTGGGAATACCGAGTGTCGTAAGCTTTTTTATTATTTTTTCATATTAACTTCCGAAGTCACTATCATATTGAAGATGTGCGTGGATTCAAGCGCCTTTTTTTATCGATTTCCTCACGCACACCCACAAAAAAGATGTATTCGATTTTTGACAGAAATTTTTCTGACATTCGATGCTTTGCTTCTTATATCTTTATTATTCAAATCAACAAATTGCATTGAGAACAAAAAAAATAAGTAGCACTCGTCTGAACACTCGCTCAGCTCTTTCTCATAGAACCGATATGTCTTCGCTACCAGTAAACTATTTATTTAAACAGTTTTAGAAACCGACTTCAGATTTGAGTTCCGCTATCTTGCGATAACCGTTCGATCAACTCTTATAAAAAATATTTTTTTGTAAAAGAATTGACCCGAAAATGTTTTTAAAAAACTAAGACCAGATCCGAGTTCCTCGACCTCGATGACACTGCGGTCAACCATTATAAAAAAATTCCTTTCATATGTTTACCTAACTTTTGGATCAATCATTGAAGTGTCGATACGCAAGCTAGCAAGCAGACAATTTATGTTTGCAAGACTCTTCTCTATGAGAAAGAGAACTAAATTAAAATCTATTCTATTTTCTTTCTTTATCAAACCTTAAAAAAAATTCTACAAAAATCAATTCCAAAAACAGCTTGATTGGAAAAGTGGAAAACGGTTACTATACATACAGAAAAATGAAAATAGGAAGCTATATCACATGTTCATGTATATATATATCCACTCTTTTCCGCTATTTCTTTAAGTCATACTAAAAATAGAAGGAATAAAACGAACAGCTCTTCATAATAATAAGAATAACAAACAGAAAATAAAAAGTGAGCCTTTTTTTATATTGGTAAAAGTTTTCTTCAAGTCTTTTTTTTAGAAAATGAACAAAATTTATCCATTTCTAGAAATATTGATACATTATCATGAGAAGATCTACCATGATAGCAAGATTCTATCAATGTTTCATTAGTGCATGCTACAAAAATGTTTTTTAGTAAAACACAATAACGGAAAAGTAACAAGTGTTTTGCTGAAAAATATTTTACAAAAAATTTTTCTTCCAGGTCAATGAAATTATTGATTGGAATGTTTCGGTACAAGGTTTAGGCGTGATAATTATCGAATACGAAAATGTTAATATTCGAATGCACTACACATTTGAAAACAAAAACCAACATTTACAATTAAATATAGTAGTTTTTACAACTTATATAGTTTAAATTAATTTTATTTCATAAGTTTTATTTTAGTGGAACGACAACTATGCAGATAAATGGTATCTTGAGGGTGTCCGTATGAGTCACTCTCCTTCATCCTCACCCAAACATACACCCACACCCGCCGCAACAGCCAATTAGCGCCTTCGATCGATTCGGCCATTTATTCCTTCTACGGCCAAGTACTCCGACCCAAAATACAAAATGTTAGCATGGAACAAACAAGTAAATCAACGATTAGCGAAACTTATCATTAATCTTGTATTTATTTTTGAAATGGTTCGTATTTTTGCTTTCTTTTAAATAAATACAAGTTTTTCAATTGTAGTTACTATTTATTGTAAACATGATCATACAATTGTTCGTATTTGTACTACAGTGCTTTGCATCGTAACACGACCTACGGTAGTTTTTTTTAGATTATTTCTCCTGCAATAGTTTCTCGTTATTTTTTGGTCATACTTGGGGGTATACTAAGGGAAAGCATAGTCTACCTAATGGCATAATAGAATGGATAAATCATCATATTGACTTTATAAAAAAATATAATAAAGATAGACGAAAAAATCAAGTGTGACATGAATTTTTTCAGCTTAAAAACTTATTTATTTGATAAATGTAATAACTAATTTACAATAGAAAATGACATCCACAGTGAGTTTCTGTTTGTGTTAGATCGATATCCTCTAACCTGATATTAAGTATCACCAACAGAGCAGTTAAATTGTCACAATAAGATGATTGAATACTCTGATGTGACCATTTTAATTTATCTATCCATTATGTTAATTTAGCACTATATCTAGACGCCGTTTGTCTACGTACAGCTTGTTCATGTCTTTGACATAAATTGAATCAATGCTGCTGATTGCTTTCGTTTTCTAGCAGTATATAGTCAACAACCGTTATGATCAAGATTATCACGATTATCGAGATCAGTGTTCATTTTTTTATAAATAAGTAAATAAGAGAGATTAAGTGGAGCGCTATTGGTCAATGATCGCTAGCTTATGTAAGCGTACAACAGGCACATGACACTGCAAAAATTCCTCAGCAGTGATCAGTAAAAATCAAGATAAAAAAGAGACAGTTTTACAAAAAAATAAATAATTGTTTATATGTAAGAGCAGTGACGGTGTTCGCAACTAGGGCTAATCGTAGCTAGTGGGTCCCTCTGTATGACCATATAGATATTATACAATCAATATCTTTTAATGCTAAGGAAAAATGAGAAAGAGTAAAAAGTGTCAAAACTGAAAAAAATCAAGTTTTCAGGTCGTGTTACGATGCAAAGCACTGTAGAATCGTACAACATTTATTGGTTAGCTGGTTCTATTTTATTTGTACAAGTCATTTCACTATGTATGTCGATCATTTTCTATAAGACATCTAACTCAAGTTGCCCAAATAAACATATATTCAACTTTAAAGTATTAAAGATTTTTATATTTAATCTAATCTAAATTTAAATTTTTTTTATTTAGTTGTCTTTTTTTCGAATTGTCATATTTTTGATTAATGTATCGCTATTTTACCAAGTCCAAGAGAATATTAGATTTTGATCATATTATCGATGATATTATCTTTCTTCATACACGCGTTTTTCACCGAAGCAACGATAAGAAGAAAAACACGTAGTTCTGATGAATCAAATGAAATTAATACTGACCAAGGAACATCAGTTTAACATTTGTAAGCGAACACATGTATTATTTGTTCGCTACTCTTTCTTTTCTTTACATGTGTCTGTCTATCTGGTATTTTCTTTCTTTTATTCATATATGACCATATGGGATAAATTCTTCTCTCTCACATATATGTTCATATAGTATTTTCCGTTCGTTATCTTAATTCGTTCTTTTGTTCTTTTTACTTATGTTGAAATTTCTAAGTGATGAATGAAAGGACATCACTTAAGTGTTTACCTAGATTCTATTGTATTACAAGAAATAGGAATAATCCAATATCACCATTTCTTGTCATATAAATAGTCGCGTTTTATTCCTAAATGAATCGAACGGTGATTAAGCTTCCAAACTATTATTGTCTATATCTAGATTTTTTAATGACCAATATCTTTCAATACTTCGACCAGAACTATATTATGGAATATTTCCATAGTTCAAATCATGTCTCTAAAAATTAACAAATAACGGGTTTTTACTAGGGTAGTTACAGTAACCATCTGGTAAAACTATCTCATATCCGTTCATGACGGTGTTCCAACTATCTTAGCTAGAGTTTTAAGTGTGCTATGATGAGATCTGTCGAATGGCAACTTTGAATTTTGTATAACTGAAAGTGTTAGTGAAAAATCATTTTATATCTTATGTATGTTTCTATCTAATAAAACTATAGAATTATTAAAAAAGAAGGAAGAGTTAATCTTATACATTCAATTAAGAAAACGAAGCGATAGTTTAATGTAAAAAGTTTTAATATTAAAAAGAATAAAAACAAAACCAATTCAAATTCTAGAAAGAGATTGTTCATCGGAAATATTTTATGTAATTAAATTTTAAAAATAATATTCTTTAGATATAATTCGTAGACTTTTATGAACACAATACATGTAGGCAAACTGAATATTTTCAATGAGTTACTGTTATAAGTCAGATATTTCTTTTATCGACTCACATATCCGTAAAAAAACCGAACTTTTATTCTCAACCGATAGAACATCTGTTTTCAAGGTTTGGTATTTGGAAAGAAGAAAATAATTTAATTTATTTTGGATCACATACACTAATCATAAAGTCAAATACAACTTAAGGCGTTACATTTGGAACAGGATTATGAGCTATTAAGGAATTTACTGTAAAATACCGATATTTTGGTTTTTATGAGTATATACCTTCAACTATCTAACACTCGAGGATATGATTCGATAGATCTCATCGAATTACACTTGAAACCCTAGTTAGAATAGTTGGAGCACGTTCACAAACGAATATGGAGCCAACTTCGCCTACGTAGAAAAAAGATAGTTTTTGGGAAATGAATAAAGAAACATATAATGGCTTTTGTAATTTAGTTGCATTCAAAACATGTTATATCAGTTATATATCAACGCAATAAGTTTTTATAGATGAGGTCTATTCAATGATGATAACTAACTGCCTAATTGTAATTTTCGTTACAGATAATCGATATTCATCTGGCGCCATCTATAAATTCTTTTTTCTTACTATTTTTTAAAGATCCAGAATGAAATAGAGTGAATTGATATTAGAAATAGACTTTTATTCATGATAAATATAAGTATAAAATTATGTTATCAATTCTTGATTTTGATTGGCGAAATTAGTTGGTAATAATGTGTGTATATATATGTATAGATCTATTTTTAGCTATTCTTAAGTAGTAAGAATTCTTTTTTGACTAAACGAAGTATTTATTTTTCTCTTAGAATAACTAGATTAAATACGCCGAAAGTTCTTTTTATTTATTCTATTTGAAAAATTATATCAATGCTATATCTTTGTCTCCTATATAATATTGATATTATTAAACATGATATCTTCTTCATTATTAGTATAGTATATAATTTTCTAACTAAGAATCATCTTTTCGATAAGCAGAGTAGTTTTTTTTCATTCTTCTATAATAATTTCTTCAGAAAAATAAGTTATGATGACACATAAAACTCATTGCATCATCTATTTTGTCATTTGTAGCTGACGAAATATATATCAGTATACACATATTTATATTCTTTGATCTATTTTCAGTTTCATTGAGAATCAATTATGACAGACGGTGCATCAACTAGTAACGTCTCACAAAAACCAGCTATGAAAGACGAAGGTAAATTTGTCGAATTACCAAATGCTAAAGAAGGTGAAGTTGTCGTACGATTTCCACCAGAAGCTAGCGGGTTCGTTTAGCATTTATAAATATTTTATGAATTAAATAATTGTTTATATATTAGATATTTACATATTGGTCATGCTAAAGCAGCACTTCTTAATCAATATTATCAAAAAAATTTTAAAGGTACATTAATTATGCGTTTCGATGACACAAATCCAGCTAAAGAAAATGCTGAATTTGAAAAGGTATTTAATTAAATCAATCAATCTGTCTTATTTATCTTAATTCAATTTTGTTTAACACAGGTTATTCTTGAAGACTTAAAAATGTTAGGTGTTACATATGATCGATTTTCACATTCATCTGATCATTTTGATGTTTTAATGGATTATTGTAAACAATTGATTGAAAAAGGTACTGCTTATTGTGATGATACAGAACCAGAAGAAATGAAAAATCAACGTGAACATCGTCAAGAATCAAGTAATCGAAATAATAGTGTCGAAAAAAATTTACAAATGTGGTCGGATATGATTGCTGGAAATGAACATGGTAAAAAATGTTGTGTTCGTCTCAAAATTAATATGAATGCTAATAATGGTTGTATGCGTGATCCAACAATTTATCGCTGTAAGCCAGAGGAACATGTACGAACAGGAAATAAATACAAGTAAGTGAATAAAAGATATTTATTCAATTTAAATCTGTATTTTTTTTTATTTGAAAAGAGTATATCCAACATATGATTTTGCTTGTCCGATTGTTGATTGTATTGAAGGAGGTAAGAAGAGTTAATCACAAGATTTTTCTTTTTTTTCTAATTTTATTTATTTAGTTACTCATGCTCTTCGAACAACTGAATATCACGATCGAGATGAACAATATTATTGGATTCTTGATGCTCTTGGTCTTCGAAAACCATTTATCTATGAATATGCACGTCTTAATATGCAGTATACAGTATTATCCAAACGAAAATTAACATGGTTTGTTAATGAAAAAATTGTTGATGGCTGGGATGATCCACGTTTACCAACTGTACGTGGTATACTTCGACGTGGTATGACTGTTGATGGTCTTCGACAATTTATTATTGCACAAGGTTCATCACGATCCGTTGTTTTAATGGATTGGGATAAAATTTGGGCATTTAATAAAAAATATATCGATCCAGTAGCACCACGTTTTAGTGCATTATTAAAAAATCAACTTGTTAAATTGCATTTAAAAAATGTAACTAAAGAAGAATGTCAACAACATCAAAAACATCCTAAAGATGCAAGCATTGGAATGAAAAATGTCTATTATGGTTCAACTGTATTTATCGAAAAAGATGATGCAGTATTAATCAACGATGGACAAATTATTACTTTGATGAATTGGGGAAATGTTAAAATCAATCGAGTTCAAAAGAAGGATTCCGGTGAAATCGAACTGATTGAAGGTGAAACTCAGTTAGATAATAAAGATTTTAAAAATACACTTAAAATAACATGGCTTGCTGAAACAAGTCAAGCACCATTAACACCGGTGAATTGTATTCACTTTGAGAATATAATGACTAAAGCTAAACTTGACGAAGGTGATACATTTGAAAATTTTGTTAATTATGCATCAAAGACTCAATATGATATTGTTGGTGAACCTGATATGGCACATTTGAAAAAAGGAGATATTATTCAAATTCTTCGCAAAGGTTATTATATATGTGATTCACCATATGATGCTGCAACTAAACAACCATGCTGTTTATTCAATATCCCAGATGGTGGTACAAAAGAGAAACCAACATCGTTAAAATCAACGGATACTGCAGCTACAGCAGCAGCAGCAAATGCTTCTAATGATAAATCAAAATCAGCAGCAGTAGTATCAAGTCCTGAAGCAGATAAATTAGTCGAACAAATTACTTTACAAGGTGATAAAGTTCGAGATTTAAAAGCAAATAAATCAACACCAAAAGTAAATAGATCTAGATAAATTTTCAAATAAAAAAACGAATTTTTCTTTTTCTAAGGATGATGTCACTGCTGCAGTTCAAGAACTTTTATCATTAAAAAATCAATATAAAACATTAACCGGTAGTGAATATAAACCATCGAATGCATCAGCACAAAAAGAAAATAAGAAACCAGCCGACGCCGCCGCCGCCGCTACTACAACATCTTCAACAACAGTGACATCTGCTGAAGCTGATAAACTTCTTGAAAAAATAACTCAACAAGGAGATAAAGTGCGCGAACTTAAAACAAATAAATCAGCACCAAAAGTAAGTTCGAAACTGATAAGAATTATTTCCGAAAAGTAGCGATCTCTACCGATAAAATAAAAACGATTTAAATAAAATTTTCGCTGAGGAAAAGAAAAAGAAAGATTGGTCGTTAGTAATATATATATGTACACGTCACCCATCGAATATTTCTTTACATATCGAAAAGGATGACTTCAAATGATAGTAGCGATATCGAAAATTTAAAATCTCGTATCGATGAACAAGGCAATCTTGTTCGTAAATTAAAAAGTGATGCTAATCCTAATAAAGTATGTAAAAGGTGATATTTGTTTTTTCATAATTATCTTTTTTATTAAAGGATGAAGTCACAGCTGCTGTACAAGAATTATTAAAATTAAAAGAACAATATAAAACATTAACAGGTAGTGATGTTCCATCAAGTGGAGCTGCTCCAGCACGTAAAGAAAAAGAAAAAAAACCAGCAGCAGTAGTAACAAAACAATCTGAAAAAGAAAAGAAACCAGCAGCAGCAGCAGCAAAACAATCTGAAAATGAACAAACATCAGCATCTGGTCAAACAGATTTAAAAAAACAAACCAAGTAAATTCGATTATTAAAAAAAGAAATTATATTCTAAAAATAAAAACTTTCTAGACTTGGTATTGAATTTAAAAAAGAAGAAAATCTTGCTGATTGGTATGGACAAGTTGTACGTAAAGGTGAATTAATTGAAAATTATGATGTATCTGGATGTTATATACTTCGTCCATGGGCATATTTTCTTTGGGAAAAAATAAAAGCTTTTATTGATGATGAAATTACTGAAATGGGTGTACAAAATTGTTATTTTCCATTGTTTGTTTCTTATGCTGCACTTCATCGAGAACAAACTCATATTGCAGATTTCTCTCCAGAAGTTGCTTGGGTAACTAAATCAGGTGATAGTGATTTAGCTCAACCCATCGCTGTACGTCCAACAAGTGAAACTATTATGTATCCAGCCTATGCTAAATGGATACAATCTCATCGTGATCTTCCATTAAAATTAAATCAATGGAATAATGTTGTTAGATGGGAATTTAAAAATCCTCAACCATTTCTTCGTACAAGAGAATTTCTTTGGCAAGAAGGTCATACAGCATGGGCCACAGAAAAAGAAGCTTCAGAAGAAGTTTATCAAATTCTTGATTTATATACAAGAGTTTATACAGATTTACTTGCTATACCAGTTATTAAAGGACGTAAAACAGAAAAAGAAAAATTTGCTGGTGCAGATTGGACAACAACAATTGAAGGTTATATTGCTGCAAGTGGAAGAGGAATTCAAGCAGCAACATCACATCATTTAGGTCAAAATTTTTCGAAAATGTTTGATATTACATTTGAAGACCCACAAACACAAGCAAAACAATATGTATATCAAAATTCATGGGGTTTAACAACACGAACTATCGGTGTTATGACAATGATACATGGAGATAATAAAGGTTTAGTTTTACCACCACGCATTGCTAAATATCAAGTATGTATCATAAGAATATTGAGTTCTCATCTTTTGTTCATGAGTAAAAATCGAATTTAATAAAAATTGTCTATTTAGGTTGTTATTGTTCCATGTGGTATAACAGCATCATTATCTAAAGAAGATGAAGAGGCATTAATTCAAACATGTAAAGATGTTGAAGGAAAATTAAAAAAGGCCGGAATACGTGTATATGGTGATTATAGAGATAATTATTCACCAGGATGGAAATTTAATCACTGGGAAATGAAAGGTGTTCCAATTCGTGTTGAATTTGGTCCAAATGACAAATCACGTTCACAATTAACAGTTGTACTTCGTCACACAGGAAATAAATCAACAATTTCAATAGATAATTGTGAAACAAAACTACGTGAAATACTCGAACAAATGCATAAAGATTTATATACAAAAGCTAAAGCTGAACTTGATAGTCATGTCGTAGTTGTTAAAGATTGGGCTGGTTTCTTGAAAGCTCTAGATAACTCTTGTATAATGTTAACACCATTCTGTGGTGAACCATCATGTGAAGACAAAATTAAACAAGATAGTGCTCGGTATGATTACAAAAGATGATTTATATATTTTATTTTATTTATTATTTCTAGTGATGCTGTTGTTGAAGAAGGTGCACCAGCAATGGGTGCTAAAGGTTTATGTATTCCATTTGATCAACCAGAAAAACTTGCTGAAGATCAACAATGTTGTCATCCCGAATGTAAAAGAAAAGCAAAATATTTTACATTATTCGGTCGAAGTTATTAATAAGATCCATGCAATTAAAGAAAGAAAAACGTTATTTTTTTTCTTGTTATTGTTTTGATTTAATCATTAACCGTTGTCATACATTTATGTCGAATCTTATTCTCGAAGCTTCAAGTATTTGTTTTACATTTTAAGCAACAAATATATAAGACAATAAAAACATATAAAAAAACAAGATAAATTGGTCTTTGAATAAGAACAAATTTTTTTAATTGAAGACTTATGATCAAATAATAGATATTCACTATATGAATACCTAACCTTGTGATCTTGCAAATAATAGAATTTTGTTAACTAACATACAATGGAGACATGATGAAGCTTATTTATTTTTATTCTGAACATGTCTACTCAAATTAGTGTTTTTTCTGTTAGGCAAAGCAAAGTGCAACAAACTAATATAGTTTTCGCTTTTTTTTTAATTAAAATAGTACTTACACAGCTTTTTCTTCTTATCTATTTCTTGTCATCTATTGCAAAGGATTTTCAAAGTCAATCAATGTCGCTTTTATTTAATCTATTTAGTTATACTTATTATAATAGAATACAATCCCATTGAAGATATGTTTTTGACATGAACGATCATTTATGTGACAACATGTACATTTGTCTAAATGTCGTTTGTCCTCATAGGTTTAAATTATCAGGAGATCTTTATAAAACAAACGAACCGTTAAAAGAAACTCATTTATAGATATGATTTTTATGCTGAAAATTCCTATAGCGTATTTCCGCCTTCATGACATAAAATAAAAGAATTATATGTTTATTATTCATGATTCTTTTTCTATTGTATGCTGATCATGTCAAAACAGAATGCTTCTATATAGATATTTATAGATTCTTTTAATAAGAGAGAGAGGAAACTACAAGGGGGAACAAACTGATTTCCTGATTTCTTGATTTCTTGATTTCTAATTTCATTTTCGTGATTTCCCATGATTTCTCATGATTTCTGTTGATTTCTTGTGATTTCTAGCATGGAAATCAATTGGGGATATGTGTGGGTGTGCGTATGCGTGTGGATGTGGGTGAGTGTGGGTGTGACCGGGTGGGTGTCCGTGTCTCTGTAGATACTGTATTCATGTGACACCCACACCCACCCACACTCTACACCCACCCAAACTTACACTCACAACCTTTTGATTTCTGTTGATTTCTTTTTGATTTCTTTTTGATTTCCCGTGATTTCTGTTAATTTCTCATGATTTCTTTGATTTCTCAGATTTCTCTTGATTTCTCTTGATTTCTCTTGATTTCTCGTGATTTCTCGTGATTTCTACTTGATTTCTAGTATGGAAATCAGTTTGTTCCCCCTTGGGAAACTACTTATAAATTAAATACAAATCCATCCGATGTCTGACATCTGAAAATATTCTATTATAAATAGTTCAATTTCCTATAGAATAACTAACAAAAAAAGATGTCTAATACTTCTATACTCAAAACATAATCTATGCTTTCCTTTCATCTAAAAATATCCGATTATATCTTTTCATTTAATATATATCCAACATAAGTGCTCTTGTACAAATGGATAATAAACCATCTGTATACATATTGTTCTAATTTTCTTCCATTCTCATCATCTAATTAGCTTCTTAAAAAAATACAAATATATATATATATACATTTAGATTTATTTCCCTATAAACACACATGACTCCTTTTGTTTTCCTGTTAATGATGATCTGATATCGAGTTAAAACGAAAAAAGAAAACACATATATATAAGAGAAAATGAATCTCTAGTGAGCAATTTTTATAGCACTTAAATTTCATACATAAGATATAAACAGCATACGTTTTTTTCAAAAAAAAAGAAGAAGAAGAAAAATCAAAATCAATTAAATACATGATGATGATGATGTTGACGATGATGGCAATTGACAAGATGAATCAATAGGTGGCCGTTGATAATGATTCATATTAAAATTTAGATTTGTTTGATGATGATGATGATGTTGATGTTGATGATATCCGATAGTTGAAGTTGTATAAGATGATAAAGGTGGTGTTGCAAATGCACTTGGTGTTTGTTGATGTATTACGGGCCATGATTGATTTACTGATGGACTTATACTACTTTCAGTAAAACATTCAAGATGTGATAATAGACGTAAACGAAGTGGATGTTGAACATCAAAACCTTCAACTGATATTAAATAACGTGATATTTCATCAATACATTCACGAAAACCACTAGCATGTGCATCAAATATTGGCCATGTTTGACAAGAATTATTTGAATCTATTTAACCACAACAACAACAAAAATATTATTTCAAAAGAATAATTTTCAATAATATACCTTTATTAATATTTTGTAATGAACGAAGATGATCAACAGTCATTTGTAAAATTTCAGCTTTTTCAAGTTTAGTTGAACCTTCTTTTGATATGGCTTGTGGAACAAGTCGTCGTAATTCCATTAGACAATGATTTATTCGATCACGACGACGTTTTTCAATAACACCACGACGTTTCTTACGACTTGTTAAATGTTCATAATCATAATCTCTTGGACTTAAACTTGAACTAAATCAAATAAAACATAACTATTTAGAATGTCAATAATGTTTTCCTTAGTTTCCGTTCCCATTTTTGTCTTATTTACAAATATATCTTCCTTCCTGTTCTTGTTTGAAAACAAATCAACACAACATCAAACAAAGTTCTCTATTGAATGTCTAAGATATTCTTTCAAAATTTAACTAAAATAAATACGTACTCTATAAATTCGTCATCAGAATCACCAGCGCTTTCATATGTATTAACTCGTTTCATGACTTGACTTCGAAAGAGGAAAAAGATTAATTCATATGATGGTAAGGGTCATCTTTTTCTTTTCTCTTTTTTTCTTCGTCTCGTCTCTGTTCTTAACCAACCAATGTATTGCTTATTATGTACAATCTAATTGCTCTCTGAAGAGAAACAGAGAGGGAGAGGGAGAGAGAGAGAAAGGGAGACAGAAGATGAAGGTCGAATTATTAAGGTAGCTTATCGTTCTTTATTATCATTGTATATTTGAAGACCACTTGAATATGAAAATAAAAGTGCCGCACACTTTTACTTGCAGTTATCATTGGAATTAAATTCTTTGAAATTGCACACACGCACGCATTCAAGAAACATGAACATACACCGTATTGTTCTTTCTTTCCGGACAGCGGAAGTTGATGATGATAAAAATCACTTCAAATCTTTTTTTTTCTTTTACACGTGCCGACTGCACATTTATATATGTATGTACGTATATATATTATAAAGACAAGATTCTTCATACTTAGTTGATTGAAATTGCACTCTCTTACTTTTCCGAAGTGTCTCTCCATCTTTTCACAATAACTATAAAAGAAAAAAAATATTATTTATTTTCTATATAGTCTATAATCATTTTTCATTAAATGCGGCAAGATTGAAACAGAAGACTTATCATTAGTTGTAATCTCTTTTTTTCTCTTTTTTTTTAACATGCTATCTTGTTTCATTCCATTATTCATAGTCTTTTCTCTATTGTAAATCAAATCAGAATTCTAATTTCAGTCGGATGTACAAGAGCATATTAATATGTTTTGATGATCAATGACGATTTTCAAAGGCAACAGAAGAACAAAAAAACAAAGAATACATAATGGAATCGTCATGTTGGTCTTCTTCTGCTATTTCTTCATTGTTCATATCATGAAAAAGATTCTGCAAATGATGATGATGAGATTGTATGAAACATTGTAATCGACTAGATCTTATATGAAAAGAAGCCAATACGGAAAGAAATCTCGAAAGAAGAAAAGGAAATCTGCCGATAAATATATTGATTTGAAAACTATTTGCAACAAGAAATTATAGAGATTCACAATTAGATCAAAAAAAAACTCCAAACCTCTTCTAACTGTTAGATATATTTTTTTGGATATAAGAAAACTCAAATAATGGAGAACTTTTAGAAGAAATAATAAAAGACAATAAGTATTTATTTTATTTTATTTTATGATGCTAATTAAAATATTGTTTTGGTAGCTGTAGGTGGATACAACATCATAAATATATATCGACAACATGCAAGAAAATAAATGTTATCTAGAATTTGTCTCCTAATGCTTTTTCTTGTTGAAAGATAGAGAACAAAAAAAAAAAGTCTAGAAAATAAGAATAGCAATATAGAGATAGAAAGAGAGAAACGCGTTCTTACAAATGACATAAGTTAGTATGGAGTGTTATTGCTCTTCTTCTTCTTTTTTTTTCTTTCCATTTTACATTCGGATCGAGAAGAGTTTCAAAAGCAGAGAAATACTTTCGTCGATTTGTTCACTCATATAATTATCTCTTACTCCCTCATTGAATAGTCTTTTTCCTGTTTTTGTACTTTTATCATATATACTTTAACTTAATATTTTAAAACCTTTTTACTTTACTACTCAATTATCACTTGTTTTTCTTCCATTTGTTATTCATTTTCGTAGTTTCCCAAACAAATAAATTGAGTAATGTAAAAGATGACAATTTTAAATACGCATTAAACATAATTGAACTATCTATCATTCCAGATTTTTTTATCATAGTAAAAAGAATTATATTATGTTCGATGAGCAGTCATCAGGAATCTTCTCATGCATTCTATGTGAATTCGACAATAAGGTCAAATGATATCTCGGATACATTACCGTCGTCTACAATTCCACGACAAATCTTTTTTATTTTATTTCCATGTATGGTTATCACCGGTATCGTTTGTAATTCATTGATTTTTGTGATCATGCGACGTCGACGCATGTCTCATCTATCAACATGTTATTACATGGGAATATTAGCCGTAGCTGATACCAGTGTGTTACTTCTTGGTTTATCTGTCATGTGGATTTTTGAAGTAAATCGTAAATGGTCATTATTATTACAATCGACATATATTTGTAAAATTGTTTCACTTTTATTTTATACTGTATCGGATGTTAGTGTTTGGCTTGTTTGTATGATGTCAGTTGATCGTTGTATAGCTGTAGCACGTCCACTACATGCCAGTTCAATTTGTACCGTACGACGTGCACGAATATCTGCTTCAATTGTTGTTATATGTATTATATTAATTAATATTCATTTTTTATTTACACATCATTTATCAATAGAAAATGAGTGTTGGTTTCATGAACGTTATGAATTTTTTAGTCGTCATATATGGCCATGGATTGATGCAGCTGTCTATTCTGTTTTACCATTTATATTATTATTAACAATGAATTTAATTATTGTGCATAGTTTATTTCAAGCAAGACGTTCAACAACAAATTTGCAAATCTATCAATCACAGATAACGCGGCAGAAAAATAAATTATCAATGTCAAGAAAATTGACAACAATGCTCTTAGCTGTAACTGGCTTTTTTTTATTAAGTTCATTTCCGATGGTTTGTTTACAAATTTACACAAATATACATAAAAACAATGAATATAAACAACAATTGGCACAATTATATTTAAAACCATTATGCGAAACATTACAATATTCAAATCATTGTGTAAATTTATTGTCAATATTAGTTTTATCAATTAAGTTTTTTTATTTTTTAGGTCAACTTTTTTCTATATGCTATAACAGGTAGAGCATTTCGTCATGAATTAAAACGTTTATTTGATAGTATTGCTGTTAAAATGCATTTATCAACTGAACCAATACAAAAATCAAATGATCGTCGTACAACAACAATTAATATTAATTATTCAACTGTTGATTCAAGTCAAAATCAAAATCAACGTGTAAAAGGAAAACGAACATTTCCCGGTACTCTATCTATTCTTCAATGTCGTCATTCAATTGATTCCACAGCTAGTAATTCAAGTACTGTTCCACGTTATTTCCGGCAACAACAAATACCTTGTGACAGCATGAATGACGTAACATACTGTTTACAAAAAATATCAAATGTATGATATGTTTTTGTATATCATCCCGGTTGTGTAATTTTATTGTCATATTTGATCTATTTATTTTTCTTTTGTTTTGAAAATATAAAACTATTTTTGGGCAATATGACATCATTTATATAGATCAACTTTTTCGTATTTTTTTCTTCTTTACTACTTACATTTAACATGTGAACTTTGGTAACACATGAAAAAGAGAAAAGTAAAAAAAAATGAAGATAAGAACCATCTACATATTGAGAATAATATCATGTGCCTTTTTGTTTTTACGAAAGAGTTCTTCTTTTTATCTCGTATCTTTGCTGGACTCTTTTTTTTTTGTATTATAGACAACATAATTGTTTGAGTGAACTAGACATGGCCAAAGGAAAAGATACGAGTTTGTCAATTAATGCCAATGAACGATCATCATTATTAAATAATCGACTAGATGATTCAATACATTCATCTCGAAGAGAATCGTATGAATATTTATTTGCAATTAAGAAATAATATTTGCAATTATTTTTGCTTTTGATCTAGTATACGTGCTCGTTCATCATCATCTGTTAATGAAGCGACTAAAAAACAACGCTTTCGTGATATACGTATTTGTTATTTTGGCATGTTTGTTAGCTCAATTGTATTCAGTATCACTGTTTCATCACTTTGGCCTTTTCTTCAAATCGTATAACTATATTAGTTCTTTTTTTATATTAAATTAACTTTTTTTTCCAATTATCTTATTTAGATTGATACGACATCCGAAGCTACTTTTCTTGGATGGCTTGTTGCTGCATTTTCTATTGGACAATTAATAGCATCACCTCTAATTGGATATATTACAAATCAAACTAATAAAAATACAATGCCTTTAGTTATAAGTACAGCATTGATTGCTGCATCCAATATACTTTATGCTTATGTACAAAGTATTAATAATGTTGGTATGTCAAATAAATGGTGGCTTATGCTTTCTCGTTTTATTATGGGAATTGGAGCAGGTTTGTATTTATTACATTTAATAAGTTCAATGAGATATATATATATGAAATTTTTTGTTTTAATTATTTTAGCTAATTCAACGATAATGAGATCATATGCTTCATCAGCAACAACAATTACAGAACGGACAGCTGTCATGGCTAATCTATCTGCTTATCAAGGAGTTGGTTTTATTATTGGACCTCGTAAATTTTAATTTGTAAAATATATATTTATAATTAATATAGTTTGTATCTAGTTATCCAAGCTCTTTTTGCTTTTATGGGATATCCTGGTCCTGTTCATAAGTCTTGGGTAAAAGATTTCGTTTTTTTTCATTTATTGTATAAAATACATTATTTTCTTTTCAAAGTTATATCTAAATATTTATACGGCTCCAGCTTTTTTCAGTGCTTTAACAGCTGCCGTTAATCTTGTGCTGTTTTTAGTTGCATTTGGTGATACACGAGTTGCAACATCAACAAGAAAAGATAGTGTCAAAAGCACATCAAATCATAGTAATTTAAATAGTTATAATGTTTTTTTTGAAAATATTTTCTTTTCAGTTCAATCAAAAATAAAATCTTCCAAACGACATGATCAATCAATGGCTATTATATGTTGTCTTTATATGTTTTTTGTTGCTTATTTAACATTTACAAATTATGAAACGTATGCATTTCTAACAACGAGATAAATAATTCATATATAAATTATATATTCTGTTTTGTAAAGTATTGCTTCACCACTTTCAATTGATATGTATGCATGGTCCAAAGAACAGAGTACTAGAAATAATGGTTATATACTTGGTGTACTTGGTGTTATGTCTGTTGTAGTTTTAATTGTTACGAAATTATTAGCAAAATGGTATAAACATTTCGAATAATCAAAACATTCTAAATATTTTTTATTTTCTATAGTCTTCAAGATCGTATGTTAATGTTGCTTGGTATGATTATATCTTTTCTAGGTTACGCTGTCTTTTTACCATGGGGTTCTGATTATCCAAGTGTTCAAATTGCATGTAAATCTTACAAAATTAAATTTCATTTCTCTTAATCTCGGTTTTTTTCTCTAGCATTTACACCTACTACTGTAACTAGCAGTGCACCTATAACAACCATGACATCTAGTTTACAAACAACTACTGCTGATGCAGGCGATAAAGGTTGTCCACTTGATTATCAATGGTGTTATTATATACCACGTGTACAATTATGGCAATATATATTAGCATCAGTTATTATTACAATAGGTTTTTCAATAAGTAATGTTATTTGTTATTCAATATTTTCGAAAAAACTTGGTGATCGTCCACAAGGTACAATGATGGGTATATTTACTAGTGCTGGTTCATTTGCACGTGCATTTGGTCCAATAGCAGTTGGTTTTCTTTATAAACATTGGGGACCACGTGCTATGATGATATTTATGCTTGTTTTTGTCTTAACTAGTATTATAGCATTACTATTTAATTATCAACGATTAGATGTTGAGGCTGAAGAAAAAGATGATTTTGATGAGGATGATGATGATGAAGAAAGGAATATCAATGGCAATGATCAATATAATAACAATGATGATATTACTGAATAACTATTGACAAATAAGAAAAAAAAGCGTACAATATATAAATCGGGATTTCGTATAATTAATAAAAACAAACAAAAAAATTTACTAGAAGCTATCATTTTCTTTTTCTGTTCTTGTGCATAGAAAATATGTGTGTAGGTGATTATAAGATTATTTTTGGACAAGACAAAAAAAATGTTCGTTTTGTAATTATACATAGAAAAAAAAACAAGAAAAAAAAAAGATTGGCATCAAAAGTCAAAATAATATATATAGATACAATTAAAACGACGCGAAGGAAAAAAAACATTTTATCAAGAAAATACTGTTTTTTTCGTTAATGAAGAACGATCCTAAAAATAAAATGAACATAGTTTTTTTTTCGACATCAAAAAAAAAAAGATTTTAAGATGAAAGACTAACTCATTTAAATTGTAAGCATAATGTGTTAATGGAGTAAGTAATCGAAAACTCAAGGTGTTTTTTTATGTCTTCAATCCTCTAAGGTATTTCTGTCTGACAGTATGATTTATAAGACTATCGTTTATGTCTAACATTGATTAAAGGTGAAGTGTTTATGTTTTACCTTGCCCTCGGCATTGATTAATTTTGTAACTACATTTGAACCTGTATGCCATGTAGACAATAATGAAGCAATAAGATCGCTATTTCTTCGTTCTGTTTCATTTGATTTTGAAAGAACCTAATCAAACGGAAATTTCTCATGTAATGATTACGAAATAATTTTATAATATTATACTTTTAATGATTGATTCGATCGTAAAAGACAATTATTAGGAAATGTAAATGTTAAAATATCTCCGTTATCATTTTCTTGATGTAATGTCCAACCAGCAAGTGCAATATTTTTTGAGCGACTTGTATTTTCAATAACAATATATTTTCCTTGTGGCTCACATTCAGCAATTGAAATTGGTCCTTTCGCTGATTTATGAATCGTTGTACGAGATTCAAGTGCTATTCAAATGAAGAAGTATTATATAAGTAAATATATTATATTAATAAAAAAAAATGTATACAGAACTAAAGTGAAAAAAAAGGATTATTTAAAATTAATGCTCACTAATATAATACTGAGAAAAGTCATTCTTGTCAGATTTGTTATTTATTGTTGATGTTGCATACTGCGATGGAGGAAGATTATAAGTAATAGGATGTTCAAAAACTGCCGTACGAGGATGAAACATAAAAGTTCCAGCAGTATTATTAGCCGATGCTGTTGCTGTAGCCATTATTTTTTTTTTTGATTCGTTGTGTTGTTTTTCTTTTTCTTTCAATATTATGTGTCTTTACTTTTTTTTTTGTTATACTCTATACGTAGAAGTAGAATGATCTCAAATAGTGGACAATGCTAAAGCAGCCTTCTTTTTTTTCTCTCTCTTCTTTCATTTTTTTCCTCCTTCTTCCTCTCTCTCTCTCGCGAGCGTCTCTTCGACCCTCTCTTTCTTTCGTTTTGTCGCTATATAAGTTTGTTCGTTGATGGTGATAGAAAACAATCAAGTCAGTATGTATGTGCTTGCATGCTGATGGTAGATAAATACACACAGCAGTCAACGAAATGAGTATGCTTTTTGTGTAAAGATAAAACGCAACAAAAATTTTTTCTTGTGTGTCGTCGCTTGTTAAAATGAGTAGGAAAGACTGACTTTGTAGTTTTTTTTTCTCTTTCTTTTATACAATGCCAATATAACTACATATACGTATAGTCAGTCGAAGGTCATGTCATAGGCTTCCATCAACCACTATTAGTCCTTGTTGTTTTTTTTCAATGTTTCAATAGAATACAAAGAAAAAAAAAAAAAGAAAAAAATCGAAAGACATTTGATGCAACTGTTTTACAGTTGCCCTCAATATACAATCATACAAACTGATAAGTGAACGATTGATATAAATATATATATGTTGTAAATAGTGCTATCACATTTTGAGGCATAGGTTTGTATGCACAAGTAATCGCAACTACTTGAAAAAAAGAATGAGAACAGACAAAAATTGTAGTAAAAGAGAGAACAGAACATGCTTGTTAAAACAAGCGCGTTCATAACATCGATGTGGTTCAAGTATATACACACGCGGCAATGGTAACTGTAACACTTGAAATGGAATATTTCATACATTAACAGCTGAACAGTATTGTATTTAAAATGAATAAAAGGCATTATGATAGTAAAAAAAAGAATGCAAGAGACATCTGATCTCTGTCTATTTATTAAGTGCAAACACATTAACATTTGATTGATGGCATTGATTTTCGTTTTATTTTTACTCGCTTATCAACACTATTTTATTACTTACGTCCATCGGGTCCTTCAATAGTTGTTGTAGTTGTGTTAACAGTATTTAACCAAGATGATGAAGGAAGTTTTTGTTGTTGTTGTTGTTGTTGATCACTTTCATTACTACTTAATGATGGAGTACTTGAACGACTACTTGATGTTGTTTTTTGTGTTGGCTCGCCGGATATTAATGGTGAATGTGCTTGTGTTGAAGAATATAAAGGTACATCAGTTGGTGTTGATGTTGATAAACGAAATGCCATATCATCATAATCTATTTTCATTGTAACAGGTAATGAAACACCACGTTCACGTTCACGTATAAGAAGTATTTTTTCTTCTGGACTTAGTTGATGTTCTTCTTGTTCTTCGATAGGTATTTGATATAAATCTGTTTGTTTTTGTTGTCTTGATGTTGAAGAAGAATTTATTGTTGATGCACAAGTTTTAAAACTATCCGATTCTGATATATCAAATGAAAATTCATGTAATGGTCGATTAAATATATCAACTGTATCTGGTCGAATTGGATTATCTTGATTAGTAGGATTTTGCTGTTGTTGTAAAATTGATTGAAGTTTAGCAGGATTTGTAGTTCGAACAATTGTCTATAGAAAAGATAAAATGATTCCTTCTTCTTCTCTTTTCAATTCTTAACATTTATGAACGATAAGAAAATGTCATAAAAAATAAATGCTAACAAATTTATCTTCATGAATAATTTATGTAATTATTAAGAAAAAAAATACTTCATAAATAAATTAGTTTTTAATCAATAAGATTTAGAATTTTTTGGTTACATGAATTATAAAAAATTTTAAGCTAATATATTGACATAAATCATATCTGATGAAAATGTTTTTTAACCTTGGATTAAGATTTATTTTGATAAAAAAAAGGTTATGAATGTCGCTTATCTGAAGTATCCTTTTTCATAGATATAATAACTTTTATCCTCTTCTGATTAACTTGAATTTAATTTTATAAACATACTTTAGTTTTAACTGCTGTTGCTGATTGATTTTTTTCATCTTCATCATCAGCAAATCCTGAATGATTACTATCATCATCATCAGCTGATGGTTTCCATAAACCAGGATATCCTGGTATAATATAAACATCATCTGATTGAGGTTTTGTTGAAAATGAACTACTATTGGAAATATCATAACGTTGATAAGTTTGATCATATTTATCAGATAAATCATTATTTTGTTGTGTTATTTCATCCATAATACGATAAAGATTTGATATATCCGATGGTTCAAATTCATTAAAATTTTCATCATCAACATCTTCATCTGTACTAATAGCATCTTCATTTTTTCGTTCTTCGAGATTATTTTTTTGTAAATGTATATCATCGGAAAATGAAGTTAAATTTTCTGTCGCATCTAATTCTGTTAAATCATCATCTTTTATTACAACTTGATTGTTAGCAATAAATGGTTCTGGTAAAACTTGTTGTTGTTGTTCTTTATTTTCTTCCGTTGTTATTTTATTTAATTCATAAAACGGTATATCAGCTGCTATTGGAAATTGTGGTAAACGTTCTTGAGATGAATCACCCATTTCATGTATTGCATATGAAACATATCGATCTGAACTTGTTATTTGTGATGATGTTGTTGTTGAACTTGAAGATTTTTCTGGTGCTTGTAACAATTGGTCATCAGTTTTTTCTGCAATAGAATTTGAAAAAGATGATTGATTAGCTGCAGATTGAAGTTGAGTAGGAGATGCGGAAGGAAGAACTATACTATGTCCTTGTAGTGCATGAATTAATTCAAGCGAATCATCTTCAGTATTTGCGGGTGATGGTTCATGAAAATGACTTGATGAAACTTGATTGATATCTGCCGTTGCTAATGACTATTAAAAAAAAGAGAGATTGAGAGTTTTAAAGATTTTTTAAAAATGTATTTTTCTTTTTACCGAATCTGATTGAGATTCATGAGTGGATTGCTGCAAAATATCATCAGTCTATACAAAAAAGTAAAAAAGAGATAATACATATTCAGAATTGATTATTGCAATTTTTTTTTTACTTGGGGTGAGAAGACTGTGTTTTGTGTTGTATGTTCAATAATCGGTGATGATTGGGTTGGACCTGGAAGTGTAATTGTTATTTTTTCATCTGTTATTTCCATCGTCAGATTATCAGACGATTGAATAACTTCTTCGATTAATTGTTTCATTTCCTCAAATGAACTCTTTCGACTTCCACTCGAAGATTTTTCACCAACAAGATCAGTCCAAGTAATATCTGATATGGAAGTTTGATTATGAGGAATATTCGTTTCTTGATTTGTTATTAATTGATTACTTTCAGATTTATCTTCAGAAGTATTTGAACTAACAACATCATTGTCTGAAGAGAATAGTTGTTGATTTTCAACTGAATTTTGATTTAAATTACTTATGACAGATTGAATTATATTGTTGCTTATATCCTGAATTGTATTAAGAAGATTTTCATTTATATTGGAAATAGTTTCATCAGTTTGATATGAAACTAAATCTTGCATCTCAGCATTTGTACTATGTTCAGATTCAGGTTGTTTAAATGTTAAAACTTGTTCTTTTTCTTCAGATGAAGAAATTTGATCAATTGTATTTGGTATACCACTTTCAACGGTTTCATTAATTGCTGTTGATAGATTTGTTATAGTATCTTGATCTGTTTTGAAATTTGATTCTGTTATTTTTGTATTAATATCTTTATCCTTATTTTCATCGATATTACTTGAAGATATCTAAAATTTGCAAAAATAGATTAGTCTAATCAATATGTAAAGATAACATACATTTTGTTCTACTGTTGGACCACCTTCTTCGACTGTTGAAGAAGAAATAATATTTTGAATTGTTGTTAATGGATGAGTAATAACATTACGAAGTGTTTCAAAAGTACTTTTTGATTCTTCTGAGTCAAGATGTTCGGATTCGACTGTGGAATCTGATTTTTGCTCAAGAGTTGATTGCTTCGCTGAATTTTCAATTTGTTCCGATTTATTGACATGTTCACTACTAGGACTGGATATAACATTTTGAATTGTTTCTAATGGATGAGTAATAATATCTCGTATAGTTTCAAAAGTAGTTTTTGTCTCGTTCAGTTCATTTTTTTCAGCTTCAATTGTTGAATCAGATTCTTGACCAACGATAACAGCATTCTAAATATTAAACATGCATTTTTGAATAACTTATTTATACGATAGTTACTTCTGTTTCTTTAGATATATCAGTAGAAGATTTTATAGCGTCCACTGTTGTTTCTTCAGTTTGTTCGCTAACTGAAGTAGGTAAAATACTTTGAAGTTTTTCATTGAGTGTTGTCAATGGATGTGTAACTACATCACGAAGAATTTCCAAAGTCGTTTTAGTTTCTGTTGATGTATTTTCATCTATGTTTTGTTCAGTAGTTAAAACATTCTAAATTCAAAATTAGTATTTATAATCTTTTCTCCTGAGTATAACATACTGATTTCTCAGTCGCTGTTGTTTCAATCGGAGTTACTTCTTGTTTATCAGTAGTATCTACTTGTTCAGGAATTGTTGTAGATGATACAGCTTCCTGAAATTTAAAAATTTAATTTAGTCATGAACGTTTTTCAGAAATAATTTATAGTTACTTCGGAAGATGTTGCATTTCGTTTATCGGTAATATCTGTTTGGTCAGATACGATAGCAGTTGATGTTGGTTCCTAAATTTTCCAAATTAATAATCTTAACTAACAATTTAAAAACTATAACTTACCGGACTTTCTGACGATAAAGATTCTACAGATGTTTTTTCTTTTTGTTCATTTACTTCTTCTGCAGGAGTACTAATAATGTTTGATGAAGTTGAAATTGTGGTATCAGTGATTAGACTATCGTACGATTCTGCTTTATCAGCCACTGTTTCATCATGTACAGCATCGGATGTAACACTAACTTCATCTTCAGTACGTGAATCTGTCGTTGTAACATTTTCTTGAATGTTATCAGATAATGAACTAGTCAAATTGGACGATAATTTTTCTTCATCAGTAGATGGAATTTCTTGTTCCTCAGATTGAAGATTTGAAACTGTTGTTTGAATAGATTCAGCTAATGCTGTAATTGGTGTAGTAATTGCTTCGCGAATACTTTCAAATATTGTTTTTGATTCTTCTGAAGTATTGACAGTAGGTTCATTCTAAAAAAAAGTTTCATATTATCATTTCAATTTGAATTTTACTATTACTTACCCCTTCGTCTGTTTCTTTAATATCTGTAGTAGTTAATGTTGTTTCATTTTCCGATTTTAATGAATGTGTTTCTGTTGTTGTTTGTAGACTTGAAACAACACCTTGAATTGTTTCAATAAGTGGTGTAATAGGTGCCGTAATAGTTTCGCGAAGAGATGCAAGAAGTGATTTTTTAGTATCATCATCGTCAATATCTGATATATCATTCTAATTTTAATGATAAAAAATATTTCTATCGATATGAATTGTTAACAAAAAAAAACATTTGACTTACTTGCATAAATTGCTTGTGTTCACCCAAATAACCATGATATACGTCACTACTAATGTAGCGATTAGGAACTGTATTAACCAATGTATCGATTGGACTTACAATTGGTAGTTGTGATTCTAGAACTGTTGTTACAGATTCATGTTGTGCACTTTTCGAAATTTGTGAAAGAATTTCAACATTATGCTCATCAACTATTGGTTCTTCTTTTGATTCTATTTTCATCTGTTCCAATTCATCCACAGTTTTACTAAAGTCATCACCACTAATAATATCTGAGGCAGCTGTTGATACTTCGTCAACAGTAAATGTATCTTCTTTGGAAGAATCAGTAATTGATCCCGAACGAGTATCAGCTGAACTAGTTGAGCGAAGTTGTCGTTCACTATCATATAATTGTGATTCAGTTGGACTAACAGATCTGATTTGTCTTTCAGTCATATCTGATGGAACAGATTGTTGTTCTGTAGTAATTACTTGTGAATTTGCTTGATCTTCAGTAGAATCTGACACAGCAATTGGTTGATCAAATATATCTGGTGATGTTATGGATGAATCAGTAGAAGTTAAAGGATTTATTATTTGATCAGAACTAATTTGTGGTTCTACATCTAAAGATTTTGTTGGTTGCTCGACAGTAGTTTCTGATTCATCTGTAGTTATATGTTGTTTTTCAGTAGTTGATGATGTACTATTATCTTCACCTGTTGTCATAGTTGAAGATTCGGAAGTGCTACTATCTTCTGTACCACTTTGACTTAATGAGCCTTCATCGTCTTCATTATCAACAACAGTTTCATCCCATCTTACGCGTTTTTCAATTTTTTTTGCTGATATATCACCGACCAAAGCTTGTTCTGTTTCATCCGTTACAGGTACATC